CTTTCACTAAGTCATTTAACCTTTCTCAGCCTCAGTTGCCTGAGACGTAAAACAGGGATGATAACAATGAGATAATGTATATAGAGTGCTTCCCACTTTAAAAAGCTATACAGATGTGTTTTAATGTTTTTGATGATGATGATGACAATGACGATGACTTTGGTCAAGCTACACATTTCTCCTCCCTACTTTCCCCCCTACTTCTAATTCTAACCCTATGCCCCCAGAAGTGGAAATGCCAAGGTTGTCTACTTACCATCTGTCAAACAGGCTTCCTGATTTCCTGTCTCTGTGTCTTTGCTCACATTCCTTTTCATTCCTGGAATGCCCACCCCTTCTCCTATGTAAACCCTTCAAGGCACTTCTCTAGACCTGCCTCTTTCATGAAGCCTTCTTTAACCATAGCAGCCCACGGTGATCTCATCTATCTCCAAGTTCTTTTCATCACCATTGTCAGCATCGTTTATTAGGCATTTGTCCTTCACTCTTTGTACTTTTATTTTCTTTGCTTATATGATATGTGTACATGCATGTATGCATGTACACAACATACATACATGTGTATATGTATCTATGTATATGTATTTATGTATGTGTATCTATACATACACACACATGTACATATACATCTATATGTATAATATATACCTTATTTCTATCCTCCACATTGGGAAGAGTGCCCAGCACATAGGAAGCCCTTGATGAATACTGACTGACGATTACATTTCAGGCAGTCTCCCTGCCTCCTCTTTCTCCCAGGTCCTCAGAGCCCTCATGTTGATCCCTTACTAACTAGACCTTTTCACTGTGGCACCCCTTTCCAGATGTTTGCTTCAACTTCCTCCCTTTCCTCATCAAACCTTACTTGTAGAGGTGTCTTATCTCCTGAGGTCCCTTCTATGCTTTGACTAATCTGATAAATAACTCTTTGTTGTTGTTATTGTTCGGTTATTTCAGTCTTATCTGATTCTTCATGACGACATTTGGGGTTTTCTTGGCAAAGATACTGGCGTGGTTTGCCATTTCCTTCTCCAACTTATTTTACAGATGTGGAAACTGAGGCAACCAAGGTTAATTAACTTGCTGAAGATCCCACAGCTAGTAAGTATATGAGGGCAGACTTACACCCAGAAAGATGAGTCTTCCTGGCTCCAAGTCAGGCACTCTATCTACTGTACCACCTAGCTCTATTAATGTTAATAGCTAGTACTTAGATAACATATCTGCATTTATAAATGGAACTTTCTAATGGGACCATATATAGTAATGTTGAGTTAATGGGGCCACAGAAATAGTGGGGCACGTAGTCTAGTGGGATCAATATCCTCAGACCTTGCCCCATGTAAGTTAAGTTAGTTTTTTCCTTAAAAGGTATTGAAATTCTCCTGGAGATTTAATTGACTCAGCGGACTAAGGCCCAGGCTGTTGATATAGCGTCTTGGTCATCTGTGTACAAAATGACAATAGGCCCCCTAGTGCTTGACCACCAACACAACACAGAGAGGCGGGGAGCTGAACCCAGTTGAATCAACTTAGCTGAAGCCGGCTGAATCATTAGCATCCTTGATGAATATCTTTGTTAACAATCCTTCCCTTAAAATGACTAAGCAAATCTTTTGTTTAGTGACCAGACTTGCCTGTCTGTGTTTTATTTCATTCCAATATCGAATTCCAGGTACCCAATAAGCCTGGAAACCTTTGCCCAAGTCACATACCATTGTGGTTTGATGCTGATTTGGGCTGATTAGCCTAATAAACCAATGCAACAAGTACTAGTGGCTGATATCTATTCCCTCCACTGATTCTATGTACGAAAAAAGCCTAGGATGAAAAATCTACACTGCTCTGGAACTGCTGGAGCCATAGTGTACAAGGCAGGGGAAAGGCATGCCCTGGAGGGCAAAAATACAACTTAACTCAATAAACATATGTTAACTGCCTACTGTAGAGAGCACTATGCTAGCCCTGGAGGAAGGTAGGTAGTTCAAATGTTTCGAGACATTTCATGGAACAGTGGTTAGAGTTCTGGACTTAGAGACAAAAAGACCTAGGTTAGAATCCTGCCTCAGACCGAATGAGTAAGTGAAAAACACACATACATGTCTTAAGTACTTACTATCTGCCAAGCACTGAGCTATGCCCTAGAGATTTAAATACAAAATCAAAGACAATCCTTCCCGTCAAGAAACTTACATTCTAATAGGGGAAATAACACTTTTAAGGGAGTGGTGGCCTAGGAAAAGTATTTTGGTTTGGAAAGTTACAGGTATGGTGAATGGAGCCATGGGACAATAGATAGAAATAGCAGGTGATTTGATTTTGTTTCCTTAACTAGAAAGTAGTGAAGTGGGAAAGGGTTGTTTGGTGAGATTGAAAGCAGAAGCAAGGTGGCTGGATGGTAAGAAGACTGAAAAATAAAGTGATGAATGTCTGGAGCCAGCTCAGATAGAGTGGGCCACATAAGGTACTCACCAGATAGAGTGCCAGGCCTGGAGTCAGGAAGACCTGAGTTCAAATCTGGCCACAGATATTTCCTAGCTATGTGGTCTTGGGCAAGTCATATCACCCTGTTTACCTCAGTTTCCTCATCTGTAAAATGAGCTGGAAAAGAAAATGGCAAACCACTCCAGTATCTTTGCCAAGAAAACCCCAAATAGGGTCACAAAGAGTCAGATATGACTAAAACAACTGAACAATAACCTTCAGAGCAGCAGGTCCTCCGGATGGGGAGTGAAAATGTTAAGTACCCCAGGATATGACCTCTGGTTCCTACAGCAAGGTGTTGGAGAGATACTAACTGTGTGGCCTTAGGCAAGTCATTTAACTTCTCTTTACTCTCTCATCTGTAAAATGGAGATAATAGCTTCTCCCTACCAGGTGGATTATAAGAAGCAAATGAGATAAAGTATATAAAATACTTTTTAAACCTTAATTCTTAATAATTTTAAGCCCTATTCAGAGGTTCTTAATCTGGGGTCCATAAACTTGTTGTATTTTTTCATTTTGATCATTGTGTTTTGAAACAATTGATTTCCTTTATCATCCTGTGTATTTTATGCATTTAAAAACATTATTCTGAGAAGGGGTCTATAGGCTTCACTGGACTGCCAAAAGGATTCATGGTGGCCGAAAATATTATGAACCTCTGCCTTATATAAACATGAGTTAAATGGATAATTTTGATTACATTAAATTGAAAAGGTTTTCCACAAACAAAGCCCATGCAAGCAAGATTAGGAGGGAAGCAGAAAACTGGGAAAGAATTTTTACAACCAGGCTCTCTGATAAGGGCCTCATTTCTAAAATATATAGAGAACTCGGTCAAATTTATAAGAATACAAGCCATTCCCTAATTGATAAATGGCCAAAGGATATGAACAGGCAGTTTTCAGATGAAGAAATTTAAGTTATCTATAGTCATATAAAAATGCTCTAAGTCACTATTGATTAGAGAAATGCAAATCAAAATGACTGAAGTATCACATCCCACCTTGGCTAACATGGCAAAACAGGAAAATGATAAATGTTGGAGAGGATGTGGGAAAATTGGAACACTAAGGCATTGTTGGTGGAGTTGTGAACTTATCCAACCATTTTGGAGTGCAATTTGGAACTATGCCCAAAGGGCTATAAAAATGTGCATACCCTTTGACCCAGCAATAGCACTTCTAGGGCTATATCTCAAAGAGGTCAGAAAAATGGGAAAAGGACCCACATGTACAAAAATATTTATAGTAGTTCTTTCTGTGGTGGCAAAGAATTGAAAATTGAGGGGATTCCCATCAATTGGGACCTGGCTGAAGAAATTGTGGTATATGAATGTAATGGAATACTATTGTGCTATAAGAAATGATGAGCAAGCAGACTTCAGAAAAACTTGGAAAGACTTTTATGGTCTGATGCTGAGTGAAATGAGCAGAACCAGGAGAAAGTTGCACACAGCAACAGCCACATTGTGCGATGCCTAACTTTAATAGACTTGGCTCTTCTCAGCAATGCAAGGATTTAAGACATCTCCAAAAGTCTCATGATGGAAAATGTTATCCAGAGAAAGAACTATGGAGTCTGAATGCAGATCAAAGCATACTATTTGCTTTTTTTTTCCTTCTGTGTTGTTTTGTTTCTTCTTTCTTGTGGTTCCTCCTATTGGTTCTAATTCTTCTTTACAACATGACTAATGTGAAAATATGTTTAATAGGGGTGTATATGTAGAGCCTACATCAGATTGCATGCCATCTTGGGGAGGAAGGTAGGAAGGGAGGGGGAGAAAATTTAAAACTCAAAATCTTATGGAAGTGAATGTTGAAAACTAAAAATAAATAATTTTAAAAATTTAAAAATAATAAAAATACATAAACATGAGTTACTGTGGTTGTTGCTGTTATTGTTATTAAAATTATTCCCTTCGTGTCTCCTGGAGCTTACAATCTAGGAAGGATGAGGCAAATCACCTGCTTACCCAGTCTTAAAACCCTGCCCCTTCTCCCCCTGTCTAGAAACAATGCCCTAACCCAATTCTAACACTGAAAACTTCAGAACATTTATGGCAGACTGATGACGCAGAGACATTTCAGAAAGTAGGGCTCTCAGGGTCCCTTAGAATACACTTCACAGGAGACTTCCTAACACGCCTACATCAAGGGCTAGTCCTGTCATGTAGACAGTCCCATGAAATATGGCTAATTCTGTCTCTCTCTGCCTCTCCCACGCATCTTCTGAGCCTTGTTTTTTTCCCCTTATCTAAGTAAACTATGCACAAACATGACTTTTTTCCTCATGTGTAAGTCATTTTGTGACATGCTCAGAGACAAAGGGAGCTCAGGGCAGAACTGAACAGGAAAAAAGAGGGGAATTAAAGTAATGGCCAAGGTCATTTGGGCCCCCAAAAATAAATAAATGAACTCCCTGGATACTGAGGAAGTAGTGGATTTTGGGACCCTGCCGATTCAAAGCGTATGTCTCCCCTAATCAAATGCACTGATTCACTTCTCTTCCCACAGAACATGGCTTTCTGCCAAGCATCAGAGGAGCACTTAGAGAAGAAAGAGTAAACTGGATGGCTGTCTGGAAACGAAAGGGAAAATCCTTCAGGTACACAGCTTTCTGCTGCTGCTGTCTTCTATTTTTACTGGTACCCTTAAAGCAAAGGGACACAAACCCACACAGATGAAGAGAGCTACATTCTCTGCTCATGGCAATTACAAAACCAGATTCGCCCCCATAGCTAACCAAACCCTCCAAGTCACGTTTCTCAAATTGGGGTCCTGAGCTCAGGGGAGAGGATCAAGGGCAAAGATGATTGATTGCTAAACTGATATTTTCTTTACAAAGTACTTTGACATCAATTACATCCTGTTATCCTCTGAATCACCCTTTGAAGCCTCTGAGAGAAGATTTTATTAAACATATTCATCCATTCAATCATTTATTCATTTAAAAAATATTCACTGCCTATTGTGCACAGAACACTGTATTAGGCACTGGGGAAGATAGAAAATTCACATGACATAGGACCATAGGTTTAGAGCTGAAAGGGACTTCAGAGGTCATCTAGTGAAATCCATTGTCCTCATGTTACAGATGGAGAAACTGAGGCCCAGAAAGAGTAAATGACTTGCCCAAGGTAGCACAGGTTAGATTTGAACCTAGGTCCTTTGACTCCAAATGCAACATACTTTCCATTGCCCCATAATTGTCGAAATGTGTTATTATTTTTATTATATATAGTCCAGGCCCTCCTAGAGCCTAAAGTCGAGATGGGGTGAGGAGGACCAAAAAAGTACAATGACAGACAACTCTAATACAAAATGCTACATGTTAAGTGCACTAGAAAAGAGCAAAACAAAGTGAAGTCTGAATCAGGAATCTGACAGAAAGATTTTGGAAGGATTCCTGGAGGAGAGATCATAATATTAGAGCTAGAAGGGACCCTACAGGTTAAATCCAACCCCATCATGTTAAAAATCAGGAAACTGAGATTCAGAGTTCAGTGATTTTTCCAAGGTCAATTGGGTAATAGGTGGCAGAAGTGGGGAGGACTAAAGGTGACAGGTTGTCTCTCCAATCTCCACTCTGATATTCATCTCCACTTCCTCCCAAGCAGACTCTCAGACTCCTCTGGAACTACTCTGAGCTCCGATAGCCCAGCTTTCCTATTCTCTTGCCATTCTATTGCACATCCTGGCCATCATGAGTGTAGGACCCCTCTTGCTTTCCTATTCCTCTTAGTGTGTTGTTTTCCCACATTAAAATGTGAGCTCCTTGTGGGCAGGAACTGTCTTGCCTGCTTATATTTGTATCTCCAGCACTTAGCACAGTGCCTAGCACATAATAAATGCTTGATAAATGCTTTATCTATTTATTAATTGCCTACCATGTGCCAGACATTGTGTTCGGTGCTTCAGAGTTAAATAAGAGTTCAAAGAGCAAACATTCCAGGTACAGGGCACAGCTTGAGGAAAGGCAGAAGAATGTAGAGGTCCTTAGGAGAGGGGAAGAGGTGAGTAATCAAGTTTGCCTGGCTTGTAGAAAGGAAGGGATTGGCAGGAGATTGGACAAGGTAAGGTTGGGGCAGATTTTAGATGCTAAGGAGAGGAAGAATCTCCACGTCAGTGATGTGAGTGCTGAAATAAAGTGGATGAGTGGTGGATTCAGCTCTACACCCTGGTCTCTTGAACTTCTTGATGCTGAGTTCAGGACGTTTTGATGTCCACAAGTGTCTTTTGAGATATTCATTCCCAGTCCCTCCTTTCTCTTTCAACACCTCGCCCCACCTCCCCCCCCTCCGCATCCCTAGCTCACTTTACCTTCATCATCAAGAAGTGACTTTAGAATCAATGCTGTTCAGTGTAGTAGAAAAAGGAAAGACAGTGGTTTGAGACCTGCCTCCAATTGTGAGTGACCCTCTGAATATCATTTATTCTGCATGAACTTCAGGTTCTTCATCTATAAAACAGGTGTAATAATACCTGCGTTCAGGTCACCAGTGGCATAGTACAGGGCCCCCAAGGGACTCTGAGTTCTCAAATTAAAGTCATTATCAGTCTAGAATGTCAGATACTTCAGACAGAAATGGGACCAGCAAAACTGGGAATTATAAAGTTTGTCTTGGGAATCCTCTCACCTTACTATCCTATCCTCTTGTCCATCCTCCCTCCAGGTACTTTCACTGATGGCCATTTCCACCTCCATTCTCATCTATCTCCATTTAATTAAAGTCAACAACCATTTACCAAGCTGCCTACTATGTACAGATTACAGGGCTTGGGGTTTCCAGGGAGATTCAAAGATTAAATAAGAGAAAATCTCTGCTGTCTCAGTATTTACAATCTAGTAAGACAGAGGGCCTTGCTTTCAATTAAGGGCTAGGCTTATAAATGTTGATAATTCCCAGAGATATTTGCATTTTAATAGAGGAATCTTAAAGACCCCCTGGAATGAAATTGAATAGGAGAATGGCAGGTGGTAGGGTTAATCATTGGGGCAGGGATCTTGTCCAAGGTCCTTCAAATCACAATTGATTGCTGACTCTATACCTAATCCTAAGATTGCTCCTGGAAGGAAGGTGGAGTGGAGGGGGAAAGAAGTCTTTAAACAATGTAGTCATTCCTCTAAAACCAGGCAGATTATCCTGAAGTATTTGGTGAGTGCTCACAGCCTAAAGAAGAGTGAAATTTGAATCAAGGAGCCAAGTGCAGACAAGTGGGCAGAGTGCATGAACATAGTAACCCCAGAGACATGTTCCAGTTGTGTGTGGGCTGCTGTTCCTGTTCAAAGAGAGGGCAAAATAAGAAACTTGCTGTTCTGTTTCATAATTAATATTTGTATCTGGAGCGTTCACATCTGGCTGGATTCTCTTCCTGCCAATGACTGACCCTTTGTAGATGAGGTTCCCACAGCAGGAGAGAGGGAGAGACGTGGGTGCCGGAGCAGCTGCTGACCCTGAATAAAAACATCAAGATGTTCCTACTATACACAAACTAGATATTAGATGCATCCCTTCCACTGGACTTTGAAGAAATCTTTTCTGAACCAATTTTAAGCAGGCTTCCTATATAGGTAAGAGTGCTATTGTTTAAAACTGACCCAATTCAGCTTTAATTGAAAAATAGATCTTGACAACAACATGACAAGCCAAAAGACCACCTAAATTGGGATTTGGGTCAATGGAGAAGTGCCTCTCTTTGGGAAATATGAGGAATCTGAGAAAAGTGGGATGGGAGGCAAACACATGTTCCACTGCAGCTCTGAGAAAAACTCCAAACTAGAGGGTTAGGGTCAGTTAAACAATTGAAGGACCTCTGTTCTTCTGAATTCAGTGGAGACTAACTCTGAACTCTTTAGACTTCACGGGTCATATAGAAGATCAAATGGCATATGGTCCATGGTGGGATTGTTGAAGGTCCATTGACTGAAGGAGAAACAAAGGAAAAAAGATAGAATGGAAAGAACCATAGATTGGTAATCAGGAACCCCAGATGGGAGTTTAAGCTCTGTCACTTGACCTTGGACAAGTATGCAACCTTGGGCAAGCCATTTAACTTCTCTGAGACTTACTTTCCTCATTTGTATGAAGGGGTTGGGATAAATGGTCAGGCCAGTCAATCAGCAAGCATTCATTAAGTATCTACCAGATGCCAGGCACTGTTCCAGGCATTTCCAGAACCAAATCTATAACCCTATAATCTTATGATTCCTAAAATGCCTATCAGCTCTTTGTTCTGACACATTTCCTTCTTTTTCCTTCCTCCCTCCCACCATATTCATAGTTCTTTGCTACCACCTGCTCTCCTGCTCCCCACCTTTGATTCTTATTCTTCTCCTCCTCCTTCTTGTCCTTCTCCTCCTCTTCTTCTTGTCCTTCTCCTCCTTCTCTTCTTCTTCTCCTTCTCCTCCTTCTCCTTCTCCTTCTCCTTCTCCTTCTCCTTCTCCTTCTCCTTCTCCTTCTCCTTCTCCTTCTCCTTCTCCT